TACTTCCGCGAGTGTTGATAGTTCCGAGTAATAGCAATCCTGTATAGGGTTTCCAAGGCTTTAAATCTTTGGGAGAGCAGAAAGCCTCATCTTGCTCCTATGAAATGACTGCTAGTTTTGAACTGCTGACATGGAGGCTAGCAACCCGACTTGTAACCACACTGCTACCAGAGTTCCTTGGTCAAACAAAAACTTCAGTATGAAATACCTATGAGTTTTCAGTTTCCAAGGCTGTCACCTTTACCCTTCATCCTTGTCCACTATGAATATGTGATACCTTGCTGACCAAGAGTGTGTTGAACATTTTTGGTCTCAGCAGACATGGATGGTATGGACCAGGGTGGCCACCAGAAGAGTGGGCTTTCCTGGATGTTGCACAAATGAAATTCTGCAGAGCAGTGAGGATGGAAACCTAGAGAGACTTGGCCTCAGTGGGAGAGAATGAAGTCTTTTATTGTGATGGTAATTCCTGTAATCATGAGAAGTATTTTACACACCAGGATTACTCCAGTATTAAGGTAGAGAAAAGGGATTACATTATTACATAAAACAAGAACCATCTCATATTGTATGGAGCTTACATAGCCTGGCTGCCTTGTGAATATAAATTTCTTAATGTTAACGTGAGTTTTCATTTATTTCTCTTGTGATTAAAGCCCCTGACACTCATTAATGATTATGAATGTAACACTGGCTTTAGACATGAAGAGATTTGTATGGGATATTTTAGAGACTTGTAACTGCATTTATTTAGCTTTGACATATTTGGAAAAAAATGAACTCAATACATATTACTTCTTGGAATGTTTTGATTTTGGCATTATCTTTTGGTCCACATGAGTATAAATCAAAATTTGTATCGTAGATATAAAACCCGAGTTTTAAGCCCTCACATCTTTTGATGTAGAAAGATGCTGTACCAAATACTAAATTGTCCCCTTTTAGCCCAGTAAACGGCCAGCACATGCTGTCTGCAAAGGTTTTAGAAGTCTAAATACGTGTTTCCTCACTGCAAATTGTAATATATGTGGATAATATGCAGTGTATACAAATGTCCATTTACCTAAAGACCAGACCTGTGTAGGCGTGTGCATTCAATACCAATGTTAGCAACACTTTCATAAAGGGGGAGGGCAATGCGACATTTTCCAGAATTCTTCGAATAAACTTAGAATTGACTGGAACATAGAATTTGTACATAACACAGTAATAATAATCATAGGTAGTAGTCAATTGATACAAAATTGATAGCAAAGTATGATGAAAAAAACCCCAGAATATTTGTAGTCTCAAAGTGTTCTCTTGCGAGACACTTACTAATTAAAAGGTGAAAGTCATGAACTTGATAACAGGACATAATGAAAGGAATTGTACTAAATACAAAAATGAAAGTCTTAAGCCAAATACATAATTGGTATATTTAACAGTAAAAATGATATTATTGTTATGTGCCATGGAGTTGGTTTCAACTCATAGTGACCCTGTACATGGCTTCTGCGGGTGTAAATCTTTACAGGAGCAGACAGACTTATCTTTCTCCCACAGAACAGCTGGTACTTTAGGTTAGCAGCCCAATTCATAACCACTAAGGTACCAGAGCTCCTTAAACACGATATATTACATCAATAAAATCCTTGGAAAACAGAAAAACCGTATTTGATCAAGATTGGGTATTACCCTTATAATAGCCGAAGTCTTAAAAGGCAAAATGACACGTGTACACAGGCATTGAGCACGGCTGATGAGGACACATCCCTGCAGTTATGATGACGCTGTTGTGTGTCACTGAGAAATTCTGCCCCCATTCAGTGCCGTTTCATGACAGACTCACATGATCAGTGTGGATATAAGAATCAGTTTCTGCACAGCCTCTCAACCCTAAGTGCTGGTATGTGAAATGAAATAACGGCTTTCCCACATTGCTCACACTGACAGGGCCTCTCTCTTCTGTAAGTAGCACATGTCTATTGTAGATTGAGGAGGGTCTAAATCCATTGTTCCATTTCTTACACTGATAAGCATTCTCTCCTTTGTGGAATCATAGGATGATTTGTGGCATCATGGGACATTCTCTCGCATTGCTTACATTAATTTGCACATTCCTCTCCACTGTATCTTTAAATATGAATTGAAGTTTGAGTAACAACCATATGCTTTCCCAAGTTGCCTCCATTCATAAGGGCTCTCAGCTAACTAACTGAGTTCCCCTGTGCAGTGATAGATAGACAACTAGCAGTGATTTCTCTATATTCCTTACGCTCATAGTGATTTTCTTCACTGTGAGATCTCATATGAACAGCGAGGGATGAGGCAGCAACAAAGGCTTTTCCACATTGTTTACAATTCAGATGGCCTTTCCCCACTGTGGATTCTTCTATGCCTAGTGAAGCTTGAGGCCTGCCTGAAGACTTTCCCACCTGTGTATGCTAATAATGCCGGTCTCCACTGTGAGTTTGCATATGTGTAATGAGGTGTGAGGAATCCTTAAATGCTTTCCCACATTCCTTCCATTCATGGTGCTTCTTCCAACTGAGAGTTTACATATGTTCATGGAGGGATGAGAAACTACCAAAGGCTTTCCCACATCCTTTACATTTATATGGCCTCTCTCCACTGTGGATTCTTGTATGTGTAGTGATGCTTGTGACCAGTCTGAAAACTTTCCCACATAGTTTACATTCACAGGGCCTCTTTCCAGTGTGGATTCCTCTGTCTAGTCAGGTTTGAGGCCTGCCTGAAGACTTTTCCACACTCTGTACAGTAGTAAGGCAGGTCTCAATTGTGAGTTTCCACATGTGTAATGAGGTGTGAGGAATCCCTAGTGGCTTTCGGACATACCTCACATTTAAAGGGCCCCTATCTACTGTGGGTTTTTCTATGTTTTGTGAGGTTTGAGGCTTTAGTGAAGGATTTCCCACACTCCTTACATTTACAAGGCCTCTCTCCACTGTGGATTCTGCTATGTGCAATGAGGTCTGAGCTTACTCTAAAGGCTTTCCCACACTCATTACATTCATATGGCCTCTCTCCACTGTGGATTCTTCTATGTTTAATGAAGTGTGAGCAATCCCTAAAGGCTTTCCCACAGTCCTTACATTCATAGGGCTTCTCTCCAGTGTGGATTCTTGTATGCGAAATGAGGTGTGAAGACACCCTAAAGGCTTTCGGACATACCTTACATTCATAGGGTTTCTCTCCACTGTGGATTCTTCTATGTACTTTGAGATTTGAGGTTTTATTAAAGGATTTCCCACACTCTTTACATTTATAAGGCTTCTCATCAGTATGAATTATTATATGTGCAAGGAGGGCTGAGGTTACTCTAAAGGCTTTCCCACACTCATTACATTCATACGGCCTCTCTCCACTGTGGATTCTTCTATGTTTAGTGAAGTATGAGGAATCCCTAAAGGCTTTCCCACAGTCCTTACATTCATAGGGCTTCTCTCCACTGTGGATTCTTACATGTTTAATCAAGTATGAGGAATCCCTAAAGGCTTTCCCACAGTCCTTACATTCATAGGGCTTCTCTCCACTGTGGGTTCTTCTATGTACTTTGAGATTTGAGGTTCTATTAAAAGATTTCCCACACTCTTTACATTTATAAGGCCTTTCACCAGTATGAATAATGCTGTGTGCAATGAGGGCTGAGCTGACTCTAAAGGCTTTCCCACACTCCTTACATTCATAGGGCCTCTCTCCACTGTGGTTTCCTCTATGTGCAGACAGGCCTGATGAATCATTAAAAGATTTCCCACATTCCTTACATTTACAGGGCCTCTCTCCACCGTGAGTGTTTACATGTTGAGTGAGGGAGGAGGCTTCAGGAATTGCTTTCTTACATTCAGAAGGCTTCTGTTCCTCACGATAGGAATTATTTAACTTGAGAGATGAAGGATGAGTATCCATTCTAAAACATTCTTTACATACACATTGATGACCTTTGACAGGGGTCCTAAAGGGTGAGAAATTACAGAAAATTTCCATCCACCTACTGAATTCATACCCTTCAATACTGGTGATTGTTGAGAGTTGAGACAGGATTCTTGAGGGCTGACATACAAAGGAAGCCTTTCCATCACGAGTGCTCACAGGAGTGGTCACATGAAAGGGACACCTGCAGTCTTCTCCACAGTCTGGACACTGACAGGTAGTGATTCCAGTGTTAGCTCTACTACGATTGTTCTCTAGGGAATGATCCAGGAAGGCTTTTCCAGCCTTGCAGCATTCAAAAGGATGTACTTCTGTGGGATCACCTTGGTGCACAGTAAGATCAGGACTACGGTTAGAGGTTTCTCCCACACTGGCTACTGTCCGAATGTTCACAGAAGTTCTCGATTGCTCCAGTTCTGTTAAAAACATCAGTGTAAACATAGAATCAATGGTGTACTCTGAAAATCACTCAATTGTCAACAATGAGACAAGGAACAAAAAGTTATCTTGTTGGAAACAAATGTCCGATTTCAGCATTACCAAACACAGTGAATGTGCATGTCTTTTCCCTGAATTATCTCATGGTTCATCTAGTACGACTACCATTCAAGTCAATGTGTAAGACTTCCTGCTCATTGTGTCCAAGGGAAATATGATTTAAGCATTTCATTGACTTATACTTATTTTACTGAACCCATAGGTTTACAGCCCAGTTTATACACATATACATGTGTATTAACACTAGATGGTAAGCTAGATTTAAACCACAAAATGGATTGAGTTGCAAGAATCATTCCCACCCCCTCCACAAACAGAGTAGACAGGGATGGGCAACTTAGACATTGGCTACCCAAAATGCGGGGGGGGGGGGGGCTACAAAGGCAATAAGTGACTGGCTTACAAGTTTTCAAGAGGGAACCTAGATCCAGAAGGACTGGAGGAAGGTAGGATCTCCAGTGAGTAGTATTCAATCTGACTAGGCGAAGCTGAGGCAATGAAATGCAGACGGGTCTCTTGTGATACAATAGTGAATAATTATTATCAGGACTGTTTGTGAGGGTCGGAAATGTAAAGGTAGATGTTTTATAGCAAGGAGGGGAGTAATTAACTTTTCAGTCTAGGAGCGGAGGTCCCTAGGACCATCAAGGGAGAAGAGCAGAGAGCGGGACCCTACCCAGAGAAGCAGTGATGCCTGAAATGGAGCCAGAGATGATGACGTGGATCAATGGAGCAGCTGGAGACTTTAGATCCAGAGAGGGAGAATGACTGTGTGCTGAAGACCTGGGGGGTATGGGGGAAGGACTGCGTGGAGGGGATTATAACCATGGTAATGAGACGATACATGATAGAATGAATGTAAAACTAATGTGTTCTCCCATGTAAAATATCACATAATTCACAATAAAACATTTTTAAAAAACAACTACAACAAAAACACTAGATGTACTGAGAAAGAGACTGGAGAAACCGAGACTATGACCCTCGACTACCCTTTAGATCTGGAATGGAACACATCTCGTGGATCAATTTTCTGTCAAGCAGTAGTAGGCTATAGTGCGGACAACACCATTATAAGGTATGTTCACCATGGAATAGTCAATCATTCAATATCAAAAGGGCAACAATGACCTAAGGACAAAGTACAGAAGGGATGGAAAGGTGGGTGGGATGGAAATAAGAACCATAGGGAGGAGGTGGGATAACTGTTGTTACATGGAGGGGATTGCAATCATTGAGATGAAACACAGTGTTCAATTTGTTGACTGTAAAACTGATGATCTCTGTAAATCCTCACTCAATTCAAAATAAAATGTTGAAAAAAAAGGAATGATTTGATGGCATGTAACAAGAGCAATGCAACATCTGCTGCATTTTAAAAAATTTTTTATTATTTTTATTATTATTTTTTTAATAAAAGGAAGATGCCATTCATACCGACTGAAGCCAGGTTTCTCAAGGTTTTCATCATTGCGTCTCTGTATAGAGTTTTCTCTGAGCAGGATCCAGCAAATCCCACTCGTCGTGGGTGAAGACCACAGCCACATCTTCAATGATCATTGTACCCTAAAACATCCCACACAGGTCTTGGTCAGCATTGCAGCACTTATGCCAACAAGTCTAAAAACAAAAGGTGGGGCTGACATTCCTGGGACATGAGAATCCACAGGTACATAACAGGAGGTTCTGTGCTCTCACGAGATCTGCTCTAGGGAATAATGATCCGCTTAGCCCCTTCACTGATGACATTCACTTCCTCACTGACAGAACCTTGTCTCAAAAACTTTCTACACTCTGAAATAATTTCTCCACAGTCTGACTGTCAGCAACAGTAGTCGTAGCCCTGTGTATGATCCAGAACAATTAGAAAATACACCAGAAATGAGAGAGATGATCAGATGATAACCCTGTTGTGAATAAGCCATTTATCTCCTTCCATAAACCACTCTGACCCTCCACAAGCAGGAAGCCCTAGGTGGAGTAGGACAGGCCCTAACAACTCAGAGACAGTGCAGAAAGGCAGTCCTTCAGCACAGAGCTCACCCCACAAGGATTCACGTCCAGATATCTTCCCCAGACTGAAAAGAAAGGATATCCCATTTCTCCACAATGCCAATACCAACCCATTCCAGTGATAACCTTATAGTATCATGAGTCACCGAGTCGGTCCCACAAATTGGGATCATCCATAGTGTTTCCAGGGAGCGGCTGGTGGGCTTGAACCGCCAACCCTGAGGTTAGCCGTGCAGCGCTGATCCCAGGACGCCCATGGACTCACCATACCCGCGCTCCACCTTCGGGAAGTCTTAAGACCAGGTCCACGACAGGACCCGGAGCTCCGCGGATTCAGGCCGAGGGAGGGGAGTGGACGCGGAGCTCGGGGCACGTTGGGAACAGACGCACAGCAGCCATCCGCGCCTCCAATCATGGTCCTTTGTGGAGCTGAGACTCCGACAAAGATACTCTCCCTGCTCCATGCGTGAGACCGGAAATGGAAGGGAGATGAGCGGAGCAAAGGGGGAAGGCCTAAATTACAAAATGGAAAACCAAACCTGAGCCTGGAATATAAGGGAGGACAGTAACAGGGTAATTGGTAAGGCGGATTTCCTGGTTTCTGTGACTGTTGGTGCAACAGAGGAAGCTCCGTGCAGAAAGAGAGGTATCCAGCTGATTGTTACCCAGGTGTTCCTGGATTCTCTGACATTTCCCTCTATGGAAAAAAGCATAGGGTTTCCACAATGTGTTTATGAATGGAAACAGGGATTTCAGTCATCCAAGATACCAGCTTTGTTTAGAGAAACTTCCTATGTCTATATCTGACCCTTTCAAACAGTTTTACTGTTCTTGGCAGAAATAGTTTGTTTGCTCTTCATAAAATTTTCCCTATCTTGAATGGTTTACGTCTCTAGTTTGGCTTCTGTTTCATGGATTGTCATTTCTTGCATATCACCTGTCGTTCCCTAAGAGCATGACTCACACTGGTAGGGACAGCTTAGTTGCTAGGAGACAGGGAGCAGGGCCTGAGACCATGGTAGAAAAAAATACCACCCAGTGTGACAACAAGAAGCAAACGCACAGAGAAAGAATGAGAGAAGGCGGCTTATTGGCCAAACCACAGTTGAGTCAGATAATCTGTCAAAATAGCACCAGAAGCAGAAAACTACAAAGAAAATAAAGTGTATCACTTCATTCCCGAGAAGCTTGTACCCCTTTACTAATAATCTAATAAATATCGCTCCACTTTATTAACACTTAATCAGTGAGTGTGGGCATCAGTCCTACCTCTGAGGAAGGGCATCTGGGACCAGGAAGAGAAAACTGTGCTTCATCCATGCTCCCCAATCCCACAGGACTTTTCCACTCACAGACACAGACCCACTTCTCTCTTTGAAGTGAGCTTTTGCTTTGCAATAAACGGTTTCTGAAAGAATGCTTCTGGGTGCCTGTAACTGAGAAGCAGCGACTCAGTTGACGCTGATTCTTCAGGTTTCTCAGAGAGGGACCACGAGGGAGAACCTAATCTGATCTCTACAAAGGGTGAAAACCCTGGGGAGAGTTTTCCAAGGTGAGAGGCAGGAAGATGCAACTTGTTTACCTATCTGAAGGCAGATAGGTAAAAGGAGAGGTACCTTTGGAAACGCAAGTTACACAGTTATTAGTTTTTCACATATGCACTTAAAATTGATGTGCACTGATCTTCAGGGCACAACATAATCAATACCAATCTTGATAACAGTCATAGAATCTTCTGTCCCATAGGATATCATCATTGACTGAAAAATAATCCAGAGAGACAAAGTTGGGATATCTGAAAGCAGAGATTTAGCATGAAGAGTTGGAAAACATATATGTGGGATTACATACATGATTGATTAAGGTTCATCTTTGCAAACACATGCTCTTCAGTATGTTACCATAAAGTCTGGGTAATCTACTTTAAAAAATTTCTCTCAGTCATACCTCTTTCAGGGATTTACCAATAATGCTGTGCACATCCACAATCTTCAGGTAAAAGCTATAACATATTGTCTGTTTAACAGGAAAGAGCCTCAGAAAAGATGGTGTCATTTGGCGTCTGTGAGACCTCATATGAATAGGATGTCTCTTTTAGAGTAAGTGGTCCTCTGCATTAAATCCAACTTTAGCCTTCAGCTCTCCAGTAAGCACTGTTACAAACACTGTTGTTATTGAACACATTTCCTGATAGTGTTCCAATACTGGCATTTGAGAATCCCAGAAAACTGTGAACATCAGTTTTCCAGATGATAGTTGACTCTTTAACTCTTCCTTGGTTGTCAGTTGAGGATGGTTCCATTCCGTAATTCACTGTTTACTCCCAGGCTCAAATTGATTAATCCATGTCTCCTCATCAGGAATGATTTCTTACTTTTACCTTCCATTGAGTATAAGTCCAAATTTTGTTTGCAGATGTCCAAATGCTTCTGTCTATGCTCTTCCACATGTTGTTTTGGTACCCATCTTGCACAAACTTTAAGAAACCCAAGTCTGTCAATTATTTTATAGGCAGAGCCACGAGTGATTTACCACTGTTACTCATCTATTAGACAGAATCATTTCACAAGCACACTCAACGTTGTCATCAACCATGGATGTGGAGGAGCATATTAATATAACAGGAGTGTGGATAATTTTTTTTACCAGCCTTCGTATTATTGCTATTATTGTGACTAAATCAAAAGACTGGCTTTTCGGCAACATCGAGTGGGAAGACAGAATAATTTGTCACCTGATAATGTTGTGAGGCTAATCCAGAGAATTCTGAGTTTCATTTAAACTTTTTGTTTGAGGACACCCAGTTTGTTGCAGAGATTATGATCAGAAAAGAAACAAGGGCAGCAACATACAAATTCTGTCATGTGTAGACACTGTGATGTCTTTTTGTAACGAGTGGCAAGAAAGGCCACTGCAGATATTTTTAAGTGGAGAGCTGACATTACTGAATGTAATTGGTTTTGGTGTTCAAATCAAGTAATTAAAGTGTGATGAGTAGAACAGAGAGGGAAAACATTATAAACATATATGATGTCCTGTCCTACAATTCAACTTCCTAAAGAAAGAACTAACATTGTGGCACCATATTATGTGTTTTGCAATTGATTACATATTATACTAATGAAAAACAAAAATACCTTGAATATGAATTGTTTGATTTATGACGGTCATTCAGGCACACCAGTGACATTTACTTTGTTTTAATGATTAATATTCTTATTGTTTGGGTTATGGAAGCATTTTCAAGACACATTTCTGTCAAATGCTATTTATAGTCCATTTTGTGTAAAGTGCAAGGACTTATTGTGCTAGATAGGGAACCCTGCTGGCACAATGGATAAGCACTTTTTTTGGAGTTCACATTTTCATGAGTAAAGACTATGATAAACAAATGCATTCATCAATTAGAAGTAGAGTTTGGCAGTTGGTGAAAAGTGTTATGGAGAAAAAGAAAAGATCAAAGAAATTGGGTTACTAGGAGGGCCTTTTACAATTATTATTTCTAAAGTTGTCATTGAAATGTAATGAAAGCCATAATATGCAAATTACCCTTCTCTTTAATGATGTTTTTGTGAATTGAATGATAATTTACAAGGGAGAACATCGGTTTTGCACTGAACCTATAGTATTGTTTCATAGCAATGATTACAATCCTCTCCAAGCACCACCATTCAACAGTACTTGAGTCTGCTAATCATTTATTTAGATGTTTGCAAAAACACTTAGGAATATATATATACTCATTTAAACCGCCAAAAGGCATATTCGGCAAGCCTACCTCCTGGACACCAGCTCTCAATCCCTCTCTTTCCATGTATCATCAGATGCCCTCTCTCCATGTCCTCATCTCTGCCTCCATCTCTGGTGTCATTGCTTCTCTATAGAGGGTCCCACATTCCGCTCTTGTGCTGGAGATCAGCCTCGACACAATTATTAGGAGGGTCTCGATAGGAGGATGTGGAGTCGGCGAATGAAAAAAAAAAAATTTAATAAAAAAAAACTCAAAGAGTCAATGGGTCATTTTGAGTCTCAGGCAGATGATGGTAAGGCTCTCTTTGATGACTCTCTGTTTACTACTGCCTTGACTGTTTATTTCAAAATTGTTTCTTCTTATATCCCATTTAGAACATTCTATGACCTCATAAGTCACATACAAGCAGTTACAAATCTATCAAATATTATATTGTTACATCAACGGTACAAGAGGAACACAAGGTCACCAAACATGCCTGCATCTCTATGCTCCTTAGTTACTCCTTACTGTGATAATGTCTGCCTTCTGTGAGCGACTCTGCTTCTCTATGTTGTTGTTGTTGTTAAGTGCCATCGAGTCGGTTCTGACCCATAGCGACCTTGTATAGGGTTTCCGAGGGTGTAAATCTTTATGGGAGTAGAAAGCCTCATCTTTCTCCCGCGGAGCGGCTGGTAGTTTCGAACCGCTGACCTTAAGGTTCGCAGCCTGATTTGTAACCACTACGCTATAATCCGCCCTAAAATGTCTGGTTAATTTTAAACGAAGTTTTACATCTTAATTTCTAACTTTACCAACAATTATTACTTTCTATAGATTCATTAGTTACAGCTTACAATCAAAAACATAAGTTTTACTATAACTGATCATACATGTAATTGATCAAAGAATAAAAACAAGAACATAAAAGTACCCTAAAGTTTCATAGTTAAGAACAAAGCAATAATTCTCTCATGCTAACAATTTCTCAAAACTTCTCATCAAATTCCTACCTCTGTTCCCAAGCTCTCACTGCCCTTGACGGTCTCCTAAGCTGCTTATAAAAGCCTTAATGTCCTTGACTAAAACCACCTGGAATGTTTCTTACAATTTTAAGCTTGAATTGCTAAAACTTAGCTAGTGTGGTTATATCTAATGTTAAAACTTATTGTTAATGTGAAAAACAATTTTTATAACTACATAAGATTGAATGTGGTGTGAAAGTTAATGTTAATGTGAAAGGCAACTATTATAATGTGAGGTTTGTTTAAAGCATCTAATGATTATGCAAAATTTTCTAAAACGTCTTATAGGGAAATCAGAAATAAACTATTTTTCCAAGGAAACGCTAGAAACCGTGGGGTCCCTGCATGAACCATCCATTGTAGCTTTGCTATCCAAGGGGGGCATTCATTCTCTCTCTGCTAAACAACGAACTTGTCATGCATAAGGCTTCTCTAAGTTCTGCTCCTTGGCATGATGGCGTCCGCCACTCTTGCTCTTCTTCCTTGATGGTCCTAGGGTCCTCTGTTCCTGGAATGTAAGATTAACGATGCCACCCATCATATTACCAAACCTCTACCTTTACAGTTGTGACAATTGTTATTAATCAAGATAACAATTACTATTGAATCAAAAGGATACTAGCCCCATCTCCTTTCACCAGACCTGTGTAGACAAGATGG